GGGGGGCACAGGGGGACTTGAGGACATTGGGGGGACATGGTGGGGAGGTGGGGACACAGGGGGATATGGAGACATGGGAGGGAGGTGGGGACATTGTGAGGGAAGTGGGGACTTGGGGACATGGGGGGGAGATGGGGATATTGGGGGGGAATGGGGACATTGTGGGGGGAATGGGGATATTTGGGACATTGGGGAAACAGGGAGGCAGAGATGGGGACGTTGGGGACACGGTGGGGAGATGGGGACATTGTGTGGGGGAGAATTGGGGACATTGGGGGGACACTGGGGACATGGGGGAGGCAGAGATGGGAACACTGGGGACATGGGAGGGAGATGGGGACATTGTTGGGTGGAATGGGGACACTGGGGACTTTGAGGGGGCAGATGGGGACACGGGGGATGTCCCTGCGTGTCACTGACCCCCCCTGTCCCCCCCAGGTGTCCCGGCGGTGCTGAAGGTGACCGGTCCCCCTGCGGCCACCGCGGGGCCACCGCTGGTGACCGTGCGCTCGGCCGGGCCCGGCAAGGCCCCGGTGACGGTGACATCGCTGCCTGCCGGCGTCAGGATGGTGGTGCCCACCCAGAGCCCCCAGGGCACGGTGAGAGCCGCACCTGGGGACACCTGGGGACACCCGGGCCAGGTGGGGGGCACGGGGAGGGGACCTGGGGGTGTCAGGGACACGGGGAGGGGACCTGGGGGTGATTGGGGACAGAGAGATGACACAGGTGTGACACAGGGAGGTGCCTGGGGACACAGGGGTGACACTGGTGAGCCACAGGGGGTACGTGGGTGACACAGGTGTGACACAGGGAGGTACCTGGGGACACAGGGGTGACACTGGTGAGCCACAGGGGGTACGTGGGTGACACAGGTGTGACACAGGGAGGTACCTGGGGACACAGGGGTGACACTGGTGAGCCACAGGGGGTACGTGGGTGACACAGGTGTGACACAGGGTGTACCTGGTGTCACCTCGCTGTCCCAGCTGTCCTCAGGTGTGCCCGAGGTATACCCAGGTGTACCCCAGGTGTGAGCAGGTGCTCGGCCTCGTCACCTGTCATGGTAGGGGACACCGCGGGGGCTGGGTGTGGTGGTGTCGTTGTCACCGTGGTGTCACCAGGCCTTGGGTGGCACTGGGGGTGTCATTGTCACCGTGGTGTCATCGAGGCTTGGGTGGCACTTGGGGTGTCACTGTCACCATGGTGTCATCGGGGTTTGGGTGGCACTGGGGGTGTCATTGTCACTGTGGTGTCACCAGGGCTTGGTGGCACTTGGGGTGTCATTGTCACCAGGCCTTGGGTGGAACTTGGGGTGTCATTGTCACCGTGGTGTCACCAGGACTTGGATGACGTGGGGTGTCACCGGGGGGCTCAGGGTGGCCCCACGGTGTCACCTGCAGCCTTGTGGGTGTCCCCACGCTGTTCCCTCCATGCCCCCACAACCTCCCCACCATGTCCCCCTACTGTCCCCACGCTGTCCCCTCAATCTCCCCACAATGTCCCCATGTGTCCCCACGCTGTCCCCTGAATGTCCCCACGATCTCCCCACGCTGTCCCCTTGCTGTCTCCACCGTGTCCCCACAATGTCCCCTCAATCTCTCCACCATGTCCCCATAATCTTCTCTCAATGTCCCTACGCTGTCCCCACAATCTCCCCATGCTGTCCCCACACTGTCCCCTCACTTTCCCCACGCTGTCCCCTCACTGTCCCCTCACTGTCCCCTCAATTTCCCCACAATGTCCCCACGCTGTCCCCTCAGTCTCTCCTCAATCTCCCCACCGTGTCCCCACGCTGTCCCCATGTGTCCCCTCAGTCTCCCCGCGCTGTCCCCTCAGTCTCCCCACGCTGTCCCCTCATGTCCCCCAGGTGAGCAACCCTGCCACGCGCATGCTGAAGACGGCGGCCGCGCAGGTGGGCACGGCGGGGGCGTCCCCCGCGGCCACCAACGCGGCCACGCGGCCCATCATCACCGTGCACAAGTCGGGCACGGTGACGGTGGCACAGCAGGCCCAGGTGGTCACCACCGTGGTCGGAGGGGTCACCAAGACCATCAGGTCTGGGGACAGGGGGATGGGGGGGACACAATTTGGGGAGGGTCTCTGACCCCCCCGGGCCCCCCCAGATCTCCAACCTGGGCAAGGTGATGTCGGTGGTGCAGACGAAACCCGTGCAGAGCTCGGCTGTCACCGGGCAGGCCTCGAGCGGCCCCGTCACCCAGATCATCCAGGTGACACCCCAAAACCCCCCCAAGGCCCTGAGACCCCTCCCCAAATCGCTGAGAGTCACCTGAGACCCTGAGACCCCTCCCCAAATCACTGAGAGTCACCTGAGTCCCTGAGACCCCCCCCAAAACCCCCCTCGGCTGTCACCGGGCAGGCCTCGAGCGGCCCCGTCACCCAGATCATCCAGGTGACACCCCAAAATCACCCCAAGATCGCCCCAAAACTGCCCCAAAATCCCCTAAAATCACCCCAAATTACCCCAAACATCTCCCAAATCACTGAGAGCCCTCAAGTCCCTGAGGGCCTGCCCAAAATTCACTGACCACTCCCCGCCACTGACTACTGACCACTCCCCCCCGAGTGACCACTGCTCTCCTGAGTGACCCCTGACTGACCGCTCCCCTACTGACCACCCCCGAGTGACCACTCCCTGAGTGACCCCCCTTGACTGACCACTCCCCTGAGTGACCACTCCCTGAGTGACCCCTCCCCTGACAGACCATGACTGACTATGACTGACCCCTCCCCTGAGTGACCCCTCCCCTGAGTGACCACCCCCCGAGTGACCCCTCCCCTGAGTGACTACCCCCCTGACTGACCACTCCCCTGACTGACCACTCCCTGATGACCCCTCCCCAAGTGACCACCCCCCTCACTGACCCCTCCCCTGAGTGACCCCTCCCCAAGTGACCACCCCCCTGAGTGACCCCCCCGAGTGACCCCTCCCTCACTGACCCCTCCCCAGACCAAGGGCCCCCTGCCCGCGGGGACCATCCTGAAGCTGGTGACGTCGGGGGAGGGGAAGCCCACCACCATCCTGACCAGCACGCAGGCGGGGGCGGGGGCGGCCAAGCCCCCCACCATCCTGGGCATCAGCAGCGTGTCCCCCAGCACCACCAAGCCCGGGACCACCACCATCATCAAAACCATCCCCATGTCGGCCATCATCACCCAGTCGGGGGCTACCGGTGAGTGAGACCCCTCCCCAAATTAGCTGAACCCATCCTGAGACCCCCAAACCATCCCTGAGACCCCCAAACTATCCCTGAGACCCCCAAACCCACCTGAGACCCCCACCAAAACCATCCCCATGTTGGTCATCATCACCCAGTCTGGGGCTACCCCTGAGTGGGACCCCTCCCCAAATTAGCTGAACCCATCCTGAGACCTGAGTGACCACTCCCCTGAGTGACCACTCCCCTGAGTGACCACTCCCCTCTGACTAACCACTCCCCAACTGACCACCCCCCTGAATGACCACCCCCCTGAGTGAGCATTCCCTGTGACTGACCACTCCCCAAGTGACCACCCACCTCACTCTGGGGCTACCCCTGAGTGGGACCCCTCCCCAAATTAGCTGAACCCATCCTGAGACCCCCAAACCATCTGTGACCACCCTGAGACCCCCACCAAAACCGTCCCATGTCGGCCATCATCACCCAGTCAGGGGCTACCCCTGAGTGAGACCCCTCCCCAAATTACCCTGAGACCCCCAAACTCCCCCATCACCAACCATCACCACCAGTGACCCCCGTGTCCCCCTGCGTCCCTGTCTCCCCATGTCCCCCTCGTGTCCCTGTCCCCCTGCTGACCCCCTCGTGACACCCCCTGTGTCCCTGATCTGTGTCCCTTCTGTGTCCTTGTCCCCCCACAACCCCCCCATGTCCCTCTGTGACACCTCATGTCCCTCCCTGTTCCTCCATGACCCCCCCATGTCCCTGTCCCCCCATGTCCCCCCATGTCCCCCCGTGTCCCCCCGTGTCCCTGTCCCCCTGCTGACCCCCCGGTGTCCCCAGGTGTCACCAGCAGCCCCGGGATCAAGTCCCCCATCACCATCATCACCACCAAGGTGATGACCTCGGGCACCGGGACCCCCGCCAAGATCATCACGGCTGTCCCCAAGCTGGGCGGGGGGCACGGCCAGCAGGGCGTGACACAGGTGAGGGGACACCTGGGAACACCTGGGGACACCTGAACAGGCACCTGGGGAGACCTGGGGGCACCTGGGGACACCTGAACAGGCACCTGGGGACACCTGGGGAGACCTGAACACCCCCTGGGGACACCTGGGGGCACCTGGGGACACCTGGGGAGACCTGAAGAGACCTGAACACCCCCCCTGGGGACACCTGGGGGCACCTGGACCACCCTGGGGATATCTGGGGGCACCTGGGGACAGCTGGGGGCACCTTAACGGGCACCTGGGGACACCTGGGGAGACCTGAACACCCCTGGGGACACCTGGGAACACCTGGACCACCCTGGGGACACCTGGGGGCACCTGGGGACACCTGGACCACCCTGGGGAGACCTGAACACCCCCCTGGGGACACTTGAGCACCCCCTTGGGGACACCTGAACCACCCTGGGGACACCTGAACCACCCTGGGGACACCTGAGATTGGGGAATTTCAGGGACAATGGAGGGGACAGGAGGTGACAGGGGAGGGGTCACATGGGGAGGGCTTGGATTGGGTCAGCTGAGGGGTTGGGGACACTGGGGACACCGGGGTGGGGTCAGCTGAGGGGCTGGGGACGTTGGTGATGGCGAGGGGGGGTTTGGTGACACTGGGGACACCAGCGGGGTGTCCCCGAGGGGTCCCAGCCCTGAGGGTCCCCAGGTGACAGCGGTGTCCCTGTGTCCCCAGGTGGTGCTGAAGGGGGCCCCGGGACAGCCGGGGACCATCCTGAGGACGGTGCCCATGGGGGGGGTCCGGCTGGTCACCCCCGTCACCGTCTCGGCCGTCAAGCCCACGGTGACCACCCTGGTGGTCAAGGGCACCACCGGTGAGTGGGGTCACCTCTGGGTCACCGGGGTGGTCACTAGGGGGGTCACTTGTGGTCAGGGGTCACCTCTGGGTCACTGGGGTGGTCACTAGGGGGGTCACTTGTGGTCAGGGGTCACCTCTGGGTCACTGGGGTGGTGACAGGGGAGGTCACTTGTGGTCGTCACTTGTGGTCAGGGGTCACCTCTGGGTCACTGGGGGGACCATTCTGGTGGTCAAGAGTCACCTCTGGGTCACTGGGGTGGTCACTAAGGGGGTCACTTGTGGTCAGGGGTCATATCTGAGCCACCCCGTTGGTCACTTGTGGTCATTGCATCACCTCTGGGTCACTGGGGTGGTGACAAGGGGGGTCACTTGTGGTTAAGGGTCACCTCTGGGTCACTGAGGTGGTCACCCTGGTGGTCAAGGGCACCACTGGTGAGTGGGGTCACTCTGGGGTCATTGGGTCACCTCTGGGTCACTGGGGTGGTCACCCTGGTGGTCAAGAGTCATCTCTGGGTCATCTCTTGGTCACTGGGGTGGTCACTAGGGAGGTCACTTGTGGTCAGGGGTCACCTCGGGCTCACCCCATTGGTCACTTGTGGTCATTGGGTCATCTCTGGGTCACCCTAGTGGTCAAGAGTCATCTCTGGGTCATTGGGGTGGTGACAAGGGGGGGTCACTTGTGGTCAGGGGTCACCTCTGGGTCACTGGGGTGGTCATTTGGCCAGCCAGGGGTCACTGGGGTGGTCACTTGTGGTCAAGGACACCACTGGTGGGGGTGGGGGGTTACCAGGGGGTCATTGGGTCACTGAGAGGTCACTGGAGGGGTCACTAGGGGGACACTGAGGTGACCACCCTGGTGGTCAGGGGCACCACTGGGCAGGTGGAGGGGTCGTGGGGACACCAGGGGGTCACTCGGCGGGGGGGGTCACTGTCATGGGGAAGGGTCACCACGGGGTCACTTTGGGGTCACTTTCCCGAGCGGTCACTCACTGCCCTCGTGTCCCTGGCAGGTGTGACCACGCTGGGGACGGTGACAGGGACAGTGTCCACCAGCCTGGCCGGGGGGGCTGGCGGCCACAGCGCCACGGCCTCGCTGGCCACGCCCATCACCACCCTGGGGACAATCGCCACCCTGTCCAGCCAGGTCCTGAACCCCGCGGCCATCACGGCCACCGCGGCCGGGGGCGGCCTGGGGACACCGACCATCACCATGCAGGTGAGGGGACACTGGGGACATGGGACACCGACCATCACCATGCAGGTGAGGGGACACTGGGGACATTGGGGACAGGGGACACCGACCATCACCATGCAGGTGAGGGGACACTGGGACACTGGGGACAGGGGACACCGACCATCACCATGCAGGTGAGGGGACACTGGGACACTGGGGACAGGGGACACTGACCATCACCATGCAGGTGAGGGGACACTGGGGACAGGGGACACTGACCATCACCATGCAGGTGAGAGGACAAGGGGGACCCTGGGGACATTGGGGACATCTGGGGTTGTCCCCAAATGCAGCTCAGCCCTAGCTGTGCTGCTGACAGGAGCGGGGAGGGGACACACAGGAATTTGGGGTGACACAAGGGGGGGTCACAGAGATTCGAGGCTGGGGGCGGGGCTGTGCCAGTGCCACCTCCCCTGACCCCCCCGTGGGGACACAGCCGGTGTCCCAGCCCACGCAGGTGACGCTGATCACCACGCCCAGCGGCGTGGAGGCCCAGCCCGTCCACGACCTCCCCGTGTCCATCCTGGCGTCCCCGACGGCCGAAGGTCCCCCCGCGGCCACCTCGGGGGGCGGCGGCCTGGCCGAGCCCCCCCCCGCCGAGGCCACCCCGGGCACGGTCACCCTGGTGTGCTCCAACCCCCCCTGCGAGACCCACGAGACCGGGACCACCAACACGGCCACCACCAGCCTGGTGGCCAACGTGGGGACGGGGGGGGGACAGCTGCAGCTGCTCTGCGAGGACACGGGCGGGGGGACAGCGGTGCCAGCGCCCCCCCGGGCCTGCTCCAACCCCCCCTGCGAGACCCACGAGACCGGGACCACCAACACCCCCACGGCGGCGGGGCCGGCACGCCTGGGGACGCCCGGGGGGCCGCCCTGCCCCACGCAGCAGACGGCGGCCACCGGGACGACGATGACGGCGCGGTTGTGCCCCCCTGATGGCGGCGTCACCTCCGGTGTCACCTCGTGCCAAACGCAGGAGGCGGCCCCGTGCCAAACGCCCTGGGGACAGCCTGAGGTGGGGACGGCCACCGGGGCGGTCACCGCGGCCACCGGCACGAGCTGTGAGACCCCCGCGGGGACGCGGCTGTGCGCCAACCCCCCCTGCGAGACCCACGAGACCGGGACAACCAACACGGTGACAACCACGGGGACAAGGCTGTGTGCCAACCCTCCTTGTGAGACGCACGAGACCGGGACAACCAACACGGTGACAACCACGGGGACAAGGCTGTGTGCCAACCCTCCTTGTGAGACGCACGAGACCGGGACAACCAACACGGTGACAACCACGGGGACAAGGCTGTGTGCCAACCCTCCTTGTGAGACGCACGAGACCGGGACAACCAACACGGTGACAACCACGGGGACAAGGCTGTGTGCCAACCCTCCTTGTGAGACGCACGAGACCGGGACAACCAACACGGTGACAACCACGGGGACAAGGCTGTGTGCCAACCCTCCTTGTGAGACGCACGAGACCGGGACAACCAACACGGTGACAGTGACAGCACCAAGGCCACCCTGCTCCAACCCCCCCTGTGAGACCCACGAGACGGGGACAACCAACACGGCGACCGCGACCGCCCCACAGACCCACGAGACGGGGACAACCAACACGGTGACGGTGACAGCACCAAGGCCACCCTGCGCCAACCCCCCCTGCGAGACCCACGAGACGGGGACAACCAACACGGTGACAACCACGGGGACGCGGTTCTGCTCCAACCCCCCGTGCGAGACCCACGAGACGGGGACAACCAGCACGGCCACCACCACCACGGCCACCTCTCGCCCCCCGGCCGAGCCGGGGACAGCGGTGCCACCGCCTCGGGGTGTCCCCCCCTGCGCCAACCCCCCCTGCGAGACGCACGAGACGGGGACGACCAACACGGTGACAATGACATCGTCACAGCTCTGCTCCAACCCCCCCTGCGAGACCCACGAGACCGGGACCACCAACACGGCCACCACGGCCACCGCGGGCTCCCGGCCGGGTGACACTACCACGGCCACCAGCGCTGCCACCAGCGCCGCCACCTCCAGCACGGGGGGGTCCCCGCCTTGTGCCAACCCCCCCTGCGAGACCCCCGAGAGCGGGACCACCAGCACGGCCACCAGAGCGGGGTCCTCGCCCTGCCAGAGCCACCAGGGCGGGGCCACCAGCACGGCCACCACCGAGGGGGTGACGCCGCCCCCGCCCTGTGCCACCGCCACCAGCCCCCCCCGCGCCTGCTCCAACCCCCCCTGCGAGACCCACGAGACGGGGACAACGGCCACGGCCACCACGGTCACCGCCAGCATGGGCGCCAGCCAAGGTGACCCCCGGACTGTCCCCAAATCGTCCCCTCTGCCCTCACTTTGGGCTGGTCGCCTCGCTGACCCCTCCCCGTTGTCCCCACAGAGCCCCCCCCGCCGGCTGCCAACGGGCAGGGGGAGGGGGAGACCCCCCCCAGCGAGGGCGGGGGTCCCCCTGTGCCCCCCGGGACCCCCAGCCCCGGCCCCAGCGGCAGCGGGACCCCCCAGCCCCGGGCGGTCACCACGGTCACTCAGTCCACGCCAGCACCGGGGCCGGCCGTGCCGGTGAGCGGCCTGGGGACACTGGGGGAGGGGATTTGGGGACAGTGGGAGGGGGTTGGGGACA